TCACATCCATAACCACCCACATCCACACCCATACCCACCCACACCCACAATCACTCACATCCCATCCACATCCACACCCACATCCCACCCACATCCCACCCACATCCACACCCTCATCCACCGACATCCACATCCACACCCTCACCCACCCACACCCACACCCACACCCACACCCACACCCTTTTTTTGACACAGAGAACTGAAAAACGTGAAGTATAACGAATGCAACGCCAAAGTTATTTTTGTTAAAGTAATTACACACATATCATTTTTTTTTCATCAATATTTCATACGAAGGTTGCGTATATGTTCTTCTTAAATATATCCGAGGCCGCCTCGTTCAAATTTTCTTCCTCTCTATTTCGTTGTGACAAACAGAATAAAAGTAAAGAGAAAAAAAACGTAAATACAAGTTTTAGAAGAGAAGAGAACAAATTAACGAAAAAGAGAAGAAGGCATTGGTAAAAATGCCAATATTGTGATGTTATTGTTTTTATGCCAGACAAATACGATACGTGTGAATATGGTATGAGCTATATCTAATATACAGATTTATGCAAATAAAAGTATCTGAGTGTATGTAACCACAGAACACAAATTCTGTGCGTCTAATAGATTTCATGATTGCATGCATAGATTTATGAGAGTACCTGTATGACATACATAGAGTACGTTACAGTCCATGGTAATATCTGAGAGCACAAGAAACGAATATATGGGCTTGAATATGTGTATGTTGTATTTATTATCAGACAGTGCCCAGAAATATATTTTGATTAGAATCTGTGACATGTGAATCTTGCTGGAAAAATTATGATTCGATTGGACAAACAGCTCAAATAATAGGAATTCTCAATTCTAGGTTTAATGGGAGGATATGAGTGTGCGGGCGAGTGTGTGGGTCTCTGTGAAGGCCAAAAGAATAATCAAATCCACAACTACATCCCTCCGTCAGAAAACACCATCGACTTTGTTTCGAAAATTTCTCTTTTTGAGAAATATTTCGTTACGAGTGTCATTAAAAATTCTCGCTACTGAGATGAAATATCGAGACCATGGTAGCTTAACACACCCCTAGTTATCCTTTGTTTTATGAGTGGGATTGAAAATAATGAATTTTACGTTTGGCATCGCCATCAAGCATTTTAACAAAATGTTATTTTGTTCAGTTAATTCAACAGTAAAATCATTTCATCGGTTACTCTTCAGTTCTAAATCGATCACGATTGGTGCTTGGACAGGTTGATAGCTCAAATTACAAGTTGATGCATTCACAAATATGGTTGAACCATTTTCTAGTCGTCCATATGATTCATGAATATGTCCAAAAACGTGTAAACGAGGTCTGACAGACATGATACGTGCAAGCATTTGAGCACACCCAACATGTATGCCTGCACTATTTTCATCCAGAATATTTGTAGGCGGACCATGTGTCAAAAGAACATCGACATCATTCGGAATTCGGGACCATGCTTCTTTGATTTCGATACTGTTAATTGGCAAATTAAAGGCCCAATTATGAAACTCTGGTTGATAAGGACTAAATAAGAAAAGAAATTTCAGTAGCACAGAAGAAAACAGAGCTATGCATATACATCTTACCTGCCATAAAATTTTAGGCCGGTGACATTGTCAATAAATTGTTGGTCTTCCAGATAAATAATCCCATAGTTGGCTGCCAGAGACGAATCACGTACAAGCCGCCCAATCAGTTCCCAATTTTGTTTTCGACCACGATGCCATCTTTCCCAATTTTTCTCATAAAAAGCTGGTTGTAGAGTTATATCATGATTACCCGCAATGAACACTTTCAGTCGGTATTGAGTAAGAGATTTCAGGCAAGTTATGAAATTTTCAATTTCACTTTGCTCACCTGACATCGAAAAATCACCTGCATGAACAAGAATGTCGCCAGCTGGAAGTGTAAAACCATACCGTGAGTGTGTATCACTAATACAGACAATACGCGTCGTTTTAGGTTTGTTATTAGCCATATTCGAAAAAAATGTACGATGGCAAGTGCTAAGAAGACAGTATACTTGCACAGCACAAAAAATTTATATATTTTCTTTTCTTATTATTCGTGTATGGTTCGTGAGAGAGAATAAGAAAAGAATGAGAAAGAGAATGATTTTTATACTACGCACATGGTAAAATTTGATTTTTACACATTTTTGACAAAGTGTCGTCATCGCTGCGTATAAGCCCATTACGATAAAGTCGACTTCACGTTTGCTCTCGGCATGTGAGCGCAGTTGTGAAGAAGAAAATACTATAATATATATGTAAATGAACGACATAGTATTGAAACATAATACATTTTATTTTTATAGCAGCGAAAATTGATTGTACTTGACAATAGCAGCCAAGAAAGACTGTAGAAAATGACAGACTTCGCTTTTTCAGAAGAACTTCAAACGTAAATTCTGTATACACTATCCTTATGATGAAACCAACTGATATTGTGCAATTACATTGGCACTATTACATAGTGACACATATACCACGACCATTGAATGTTTTTCGTTCTTCGTATAGTATACAAATAGGCTGTTTATAACTAGCGAACTATTGTGGGTGTGGGTGGGTGCGACTGTTCATTGTTTACTCACACGCATCCTCTGGGATGTAGATGTACTTCATATTAGATAGATTCAAAGCACCATACGATGTGTTTCGATTATTCCTGCAATAGTCATCATCAGATATGTTAAGAATCTAAAAGTACAGGAATAACTTATTTCAAGTTGAAAGTGTCTCATATTAGACAGTTTCCAAGCATCACACGCTGCCTTTCAAGAAATACTGTTTTTCTTTTTTTTTAATTTCTCCAGTTTTTTTTTGTCATCTCTGTTGCCTTATTATCGGTTCTTTGGTTGTCTGTATAACGTAGAAAATCACTATATTAGATGTTGTTTGAAATATTTTTGAAAAGGGAAGAGTTTCATGAATTCTAATATTTGGTTAACTGTAACATATACCAACACCATAAATACTCAACTTCTCGAAACTGTACCCAACTTCTGCTAACAAACATCCACAGAAACATGTAATTTTCTCATTGATATACGATCGAAACATACACTTAAGTATATTTATTTCGAAAATATCTCAAAATAGGAAAAAAACCTAAAATATCATAGATGTCATAATACCATCACACTGAGTATTGAGAACTAAATGTCAGGATACCCTACAAAGTAATCAACTAAAAGTGATTTCACTTGCACGATGAAGCTTATGGCAAGAGATAATCACTTCCTTACTCCATAAATGTAACTATATGTTTTTAGAATTGAGGGATTTGAGTGAATTTGGGGTAATGAGGTGGTTACCCCAAATTCACTAAAATTCCTCAGTTTTATAATATATATTTACTTTTTCGGATGTCATTACGCTTGCGGTAATACCCCAAATTCACTCAAATTCCTCAACTTTATAATATATAGTTACTTTTTTTTATTAGAAAATGCGGATACCCGATGTAACGGGATTGTGACATCACTCTTTAGCAACGTCAATGAAATATATGGATACTAGACATGTGCCAAAACTTGTAGTTCAAATTACCTTCATGTGTACTTCTCTGTGGAAAACAACTAAATATGAATAAGTCACTCAAAACTATTCAACATGATCCAGTTGGTGTATTCATAATATGGTAAATATAAATAAAACAATTCTTTTTGTTTAGTAAGCACAACTGAATTCGATCATAATTCCAGCTGACAAAAATAAAAATCGACTGATATCTTTTGTTGTAAATAAATTTTTTTATTGATTATCTCAATAGAATAAAATATCTTAACATAAAATAATGAGATTTGTAATTATTGATGAAAACAAAATGCTAAGTATTATCCAATTTTCAGAAACATGAGTACATTGTGTTTGGATATAGCATTTGATCATTTTTTTCATAACGAATCTATTAATAATAATAATAATAATAATAATAATACAATCCTGTGTATATATGTAACGTAAATATCTGTGAATCATCAAATCAACACACATACTCATCATCATCAATGATGATGTCAATAAAACAAAATAATAAAGACTATAATATTGTAATCAAAGAAAGATGACAACAAGATTAATAAGAAGTGTTTCTTGATTTTATCATTAATGCATATTTACGTTTTCAATATACACAATTGTATTACTATTAGATTTATTATAATAATTGTGTTAAGATTTTTTATAGTAACGAGGTGAACGATGAGAAAAACTTTATTGATATAAATATATATCAGTCATTCTTCATGTTATTACATGCACTACTATTTTATTCATTTAGATTTTTTAAACGATATCACTCATTTTATTTATATAGATTTCGAAGAACAATCATAAAAATTTCAACGAAAGTTAATATTACTTTCTAAAATTAACATTTCCTATCCTTGCTATGAATAAATACAATTCATGATTCATTTTAATCTGATCCAATAATGACAACATATTTATCTCATTAAAAAAATTATTTATAGATGATCAAAGCTTTTTCTAAATAAGTCTATGTATGGTATCAATACATCGAAAAATGCTTTCTTCTACGGCTTGCTTAGGTGCAGTTCATAAAGAATGTTCAGTAAATGGGCTATTTATCGCTGAAAACAAGTAACCATCAGAATTGGAGAGAATGTATGGTTGCGTTAGACGTTTAGAACGAAGAGCAATAGAACCGTTCTGGGAGAAAAATACAATGAAGCAAGTTCTCATAGGAGTTGTATGATTCGTCATGAATCAAATTTCAAAAAATGATCATAACTCTCCTTCGCTTAAAGGCTTGATAAATTTACAAAGTATGCAGCATATTTACTTTAGAGCTCAAAGTACATCTCCTTTAGATACTCACATGAAAATGAGTTTCAAAACAATTGACATTAGAAAAAGCCGAGAAAATTTTGTTACTGGATTACCATGAAGACGTAGTGCTAGGAAAGTCTGGCAACCTGACAGAACATGTTGAAAAAAATGATTTTTGCTAGAAGTCTTTCGTGGATGACGCCTTATTCATCATCCACATATAATTTTATGTATCAGTAAAAAAAGAAGACAACATTCCTCAGTGATTTTTTTGCTCTTTCTCTCACTTTCATAAAGTAGGAACGAACAAAAAAGAAAAGAAATTGCATATATATATCACATATACTCATACTAGACAGTCCAAATTTTTCGTAATTTGCAATAAGACAAACGAAACAAACTCGTTATTCATGATGTCTTAATACTTTATGAAAATGTTGGCTGGAAATAAGTTTGATAAAGTGATCAAAGGTGAACTGAAAGATATTCTTGAAAGTGAATAATCTGAATTCTATTTTATCATGTTTTAAAGTTCAGTGGAAATTATGAAGACGAACAGAATGTAGTCAACGACATCTCTGGAAAAGAACTAGCCGTAAGCAAAGTTTCTCTAATAATTGCTAGACTCCTTTCAAATGTTTGTTTCTATTTTTAATCCCAAGGCAGAACAGAATCGTCAAGCAGCTAACGAAAAAGAGTGCAAAGCTCGACAAGCTAAGGTCGAGAAGGAACGTGAAGAAGCAAGGCAGAAAATACGTGATAAAGTGCGTTTGTATGTCTGAATATAGGGTTTTATCGATCGGGATGAGCATTGACATTCTTGGTTCTGTTTTTCTTTTCTTAGTATAACATTCAGAAGAAAGATGATCCACCAATCACAGATAAGAACCAAGATCCAGGAAAAATAAATGATCTGATAACTAGAAACTTGAAAAAATTAATCAGTCCAAATCTCAAGGTGAATTCAATTTTCTCATAGAAGCTTTAATGAATTTCGAATTGATTTTTCAGACGACTGAGAGAGAGAGAGAGAGAAAAATCGATTAGTATTTTCCAGGGATCTTTTTATTAAAATAAGCCCTAACTTCATCAAGCAGCGTCAGTTGAATCAAAATAAGAGGATGTTATATATGTCATATGAACTTTTTCTACTAAGGAATAATTATATTTCTGGTAGAAGTTTTCACGTGGATAACTATAAAAAGTTGCAATCGCAAGGGGATGTGACACCTTTGACCACAAAGCTTTTTCAATTAGAAAAATAAATAAATTTATTTACGATTACAAACTGGAACTACTAAGGAAACAACAAAAAAGCTTTGAGAATCTCACTTAGTTTTTCAAAATGAAACATGTAGCTGCAAAGAACCTCTTTTCTTTCTTAATTTTCAAGTCAAAAGAGTGCATCTTGAACTGAAAAAAATTAAGTACCGCTAGGTAGATGCTATAATCTCAATAATTTTTTACCGCGAATTATTACTTTCTGTGTCAGTATTTACCTATTATATCTCCGAGAATCACATCATTTTTATTGAAGGTACTCAGATGACTTATTGTTTTTAGAAATTTTTTCAAGATCAAAGATCTTTTCCAACTAAAAAGAAATGAAAAAAAATTTGATTTTAATCGAATTTTTCAGATTAAAATCGATTGAATTTTAGAAATTCGTAAAAGCAATCTCTTTGTAATTAGTAGTCGATTTCAATTCTACGTATATTTATTTATTATAATCTATTATGACTTGCACATTGACCTGAATCGATTCTTCTGAGGTAACTAATCTTAATAGATTAAACCTATCGGGATCAAGAAAGTCGATTTCTGCGTTAATAAATCTGATGCACTTGAATCAATTAAATCTCTTAAAAATAAGTTAAACAATTTTTGTGTTTTAAAAATTAATACATTCTTACTGATTTTTGTAGTAAACGCTTTTAATCGAAAAAGTTGAGCTTTAGTGATTATTCAAAAGAAATCGATTATAATGCATTAGATGCTTAATCGCTTAATTCAATTATCTTGATTTAAATAAATCTAGCCCATTGAAATTCATTTTTACATTGTATTTAATCAGAGAGGGTGAGGGGTGGGGGTGTGGGTGTTGGTGTAGGACTGAGTGTCAATCAAGTGGCTACAGACCCACACCCACACCCACAACCACCCGCATCCACATCCACATCTCACATCCCACCCACACCCACACCCACACCCTTAAGAATGGTTCTGATTGGCGGCAAGTGACAGCGATTGATAGGGAATGGTGGGGAAAAGCTCCGACTATCCGAATGAGATTTTTCCCCTTTACCCACAGCCCGCATTCACACCCACTTACACCATGCAACATAATTAGGTGAGCAAATGGCAGAGCATCATACTTTTTAAGAGTCAACGACACGATAGAGTAGGGAGAGGATAATGCGTAAGACGAACAGAGTAATCAGGTTTGTACGATTCAGAGATCAGGCCAAAAAAATGGCTCCGCGCTCATCTCTGTAATATATTGATTGTGGGATAAGATGAAATTACAATTTGTCAAATTCAATTCAATCTATTTGAAATTTTATGAAAAATTTTTAGTGAAACTTGGACACTCGATGATGAATTAGTGAATTCTTCTAAGACAGTCACGAGAGCCGAAAATGTATGTAAGTGCACAAGCAAAAAAAAGCATAACTGTTTTTGCTCACAATCACGATTCCGGATTATGAGAGAAAAATGACCACTGTTTTTTTTTCTTTTTTCCTGGATGTTTACATGAGGTTTTCACTATTTATGACGGTCTATGTTCTCAGCCGCATAAAAAAACAGAGCATGTTTTTGGTGTTACATTTGGTTCCGAGATGGGTGTCAATGAATAGATACAATCATATTCTCAAGGTGTTACTGAGAATGCTATGCACAACCTTGTGATAAAGTTCAAATCTCAACAGTATTTTTACCATTGTTCTTTCTTTGTACGATTTGTCTTACAAGCATGCATTCATTTGTTAATATATTTTGCTCAGTTTGAATCAAAGGTAGGGATTTGATTAGCATATCGAAGATGATAAGGAAAAGGCACACTATTTATAATACTTCTATTCCCTACCTTTCTTTACTGTAAACGAAGTCTGCAAATCGGCGATATGATCGAAGGTCATATGGAAAAGGAATATTACTAACAAGACTTCTCTTCAACTCTTTTCCTCGCTTTGAAGCAAAAGTTGCAATTTGATTACTTGATCATGATCACTTGGAAAAGAAACATTGCTAATCATGATACCTCCGTTCATCTCTTTTGCTTGTTCCGAAGGAAAGATTGCGACTCGATCAGTTGATCGACGAGCACATCGAAAATAAACATAATGAATAATACTTCGATGCATGTCTTGTCCTCATCTTGAATCGAAGGTTGTGACTGAGTCACCTAATCGACGATTACAAGGTAGAGGGACTTTCATCATAATAGTTCTGTTTTCGTCTTTCCTCACTTCTAACTAAATGTTAGAAGTCTCTCAGATGATCGAAGATTACAAGAAAAGAGGATTTGACATAGGATACATCTGGTCACATCTTTGCTCATTTCAAAGCAAAAGTTGACATTCAGTCGACTGATCGGAGATCCCATGATAAAGGAACCTTATTAACAACACTTCTGTTCATCTCTTTTACTGACTTCGAATCAAAAGCTGCGACTGGATCAGCTGATCGAAGAGCGCACGAAAAAGAAATGTTATGAATAACACGTTGGTTCATGTTTTTTCCTCACATCTAATCAAAAGTTGCGACCAGATCAGTTGATTGACGGTTCCATGAAAGAGAAACATGTATCATGACAGCTCTGTTCTCCTTTTTTGCTCATTTTGAAATAAAAGTTGCCATACAGTCAGCAGGTCAAAGGGAAAAGGGAAAAGAAACATTATTAATAAAACTTCCATTCATCTGTTTGCTCATTTTGAAGGGAAGGTTGCGAGTCAGTCAGCTGAGTCAACGTCACATGAAAGAGAAACATTACTAATAAGACTTGTGTTCTTCTTTTTTGCTCACTCTGAAAGAAAAGTTGCGAGTTAGACAACTGAGTCAAGATTACATGAAAAAGGAATATTGTTAATAAGACTTCTGTTCACATCTTTTGACTACTTCCAAGCACAAGTTGCGATTCGATCAGTTGATTGAAGAATTTATAAAAAAGGAAAAGTATGAATAAGACTTTTACTCATATCTCTTGCTGAGTTCGAATCAAAGGTTGGGACAAGATCAACTGATTAGCGATTACATGGAAGAGGACTATTTATCATCATAGTTCTCATCACCTTTTGTGCTCACTTCGAAGCAAAACTTACCATTCTGTCAGCAGGTGGAAGGTGATAGGAAAAAGAAACATTAGTAACGAAACTTCTGTTCACTTTTTGACTCATTTCGAAACGAAGGTTGCGACTTAATCAACTGAGTGGACGTCACATGGAAAAGGAACATTAGTAAAAAGACCTATATTCATTTCTTTTCTTCATTTCGAAACAAATATTGCGGTTCAGTCAGCTGATTGCAAATTATATAGTAGAAGAACTCTCTATAGGATACTGTTGTATATCTCTTGTGCTCATTTGAAAGAAAAGATTTTGATTCGGCCAAGTGATTGAGGATCGCATGGAAAAGGAACATTATAGATGGTATTTTACGTCAAGCATTCGTTCATGAAATATAGGTAGTTTGTTGTAAGACTTTCGTCATACTCATATGGTCACGTTTCTCATGACAAATGCATAACTATCAATATTACTGTGTCCGTATATTTTCTTCAATTTGAACTAAACTTTGAAGAATTCCAACTGATGCATCATTACAAATGAAAAGAATATTCTTAAGGAAAGTTTTGTTCATTTATTTCACATAGTTTCAGCCGAAACATACATATTGACGAGAGTGAATTCGATATAATACGACCAATGAATGTTGATAACGCTCGAAAAACTTTCATTCACATATTTTTCGTCCTGCTTAAAGATAAAGAGCGATTTGATCAACGACTTGAAACTCATATGAAGAACGAATCATCGTAATCATCCCAAACATTGTTATATTCATTTATTCAATTTGCATCGAAGTATCAATTTTCAAAATACGAAATAGGTTACAACTGATAGCATGAATGAATTATCCAAAATAGTGTTACATCCAAATATTTTTCATCTTTCGAATAAGAGATGATGCATTGATAAATTATTCTAAAAATCACACGCCAAATGAGCAGTTTTCATTAGTGTTGTTTTCATTGATCTTTCACATTAATAAATGAAGATTATCTGTTGATTCTGTTAATCGATGATTACATGACTAGTGAATATTCATCATCGAAATTGTATTCATGTACCTCAATCATTTTCAACTGAAATATACAAATCATTTTTTATAAAAGAACTTATGATATATCAATATTCAGTTACCAATTGTTTTCTTCAGCTATCTTGGCACATATCCAGCTGAATGATATTAATACATGTGTTGATTGAAGATCACAAGACTAATAAATCAACATTATGCTGATTCTAGTCATTTATTGTATTCAATTCGAACTAAGACCGATGTGTGGTTTATTCACTAGAAGATCTCATGATAAATCAATAATCATATGCCAATGATTCTGTTCATGTATGTTGTCTTTCCACATTGAAACAAAATGTACTTGTTTAGTTATTTATCGAAGATTGCATAGAATCTGAAACATTATTATCGTAGCGATTCCAATACTTCTGTTCAGCAGTATTGTGCACATTGAAACAAAAAGTTTCGAGAAAACATACTTTTGAAAAATGACAAAATGAAGGGATGATGGGAAAATGGCTCAATGAAGGAATGACGATAAGGCAGTCACTATTCAACAATCGCACACACTTCGAAAAAGATCATATAGGTTGATTCCTTAAATGGAATATCATATACCCAATGAACTATCATTTTCCAATAGCTGTGTTCGCTTTTTCGCTCATTTTTGGAGCAAAT